CGGGGTGGTCACGGAAACGTGAGCTGAGGAGATCCATAAGAGGTGATTAGAAACAAAAACCCTCCTTTTCTTCATCCCTGCCCTGGATTCCCCCACTGAACAGCAGCCCACAAGCCCACGAGCCCAAGACACACGTATCTGCCCCTGAGCCCGTGGACCAGAGGGTCAGGGCTGCTTCTCAGAGGAAGCGTGGGGTAACCAAGTTGCAAGCCTGGACTGAATCCCAGCCTGCATTCTCTTCTCTACATGCTGTCTGCGCCTCTCTGTGTCTTTCCTTCTCCACCCGGAAAATGGTGACAATAAGGCCTGCTCGCCCCACTTCATAGGGATTGCAAGGTTCAAACAAGATAATGTCCACTGAATGTGTCCTGAACTGCAGGGTGATATGCAAACATGAGTCATCCCATACTGACTCATGGTGTTGGCCTCCTCTGATGGTGATCCCCTTTGGGTCCCAAAAGCTGGTGAGAACCCCAGGTTGTGAGATAAAAAAAAAAACAGGATGTCCAGTGAAACTTAAATTTCAGATAAACAATGGACACCTATTTTTTAGAAGTATGTGATGATTAATTTTAGGGAGAACTCTAATACAAAGTATATTCCACTATTAGACAAGACACACTCATACTAGGTTGGTTGTTTATCTGGAATTCAAATTTCACTGGATGTCCTGTATTTTTAATTTGCTCAATCTGGCAACCAAGCCAGGACAAACCACCAATGGCTCTCTCCCTTGCTATGTCCAACTCCAGAACCACAACAGGCCCGGATCCCAAGCCCAGCTCTGCCACTCATCAGCTGTGTGAAATGGAATATTCGCTTCACGTCTCTGAGGGTCCACAGTCTCATGCCAGAAAGGAAGCTGATAGTGCACAGCCACGCAGGCAGTTATGGGGCTGGATCTGGGGCCTTGGAGCAGGGCTCTGGTTCTGTGGGCCCCTCACACTTCTTCAGCTTTGGATCTTGGATGAGTAGCTGTAGGTGGAGCATCTGAAGAAGGGCCTGTAGAGGGTGATCAGAATGAGTCCCTCCTCCAGCCACCTCCTGTCCTCACTGTCTGGGACAGACCTGCAGAAGCCGAGCTGCATGCTCTCTCAGGCCTGGGCCAGCCCCAGCCAGGAGCCCCGTGGGAGGAAAGGAGAACGTGGGGTGGCAGTGCTTTAAGTTGTCCTGCACCACACTGCATGCTCACCGCAAAGCTCTGTCCTCCAGACCTGGCATCCAGGAGGCCCACTCAGGATCAGCAGCTGGAAACCCTGGTATGACCACCATGCGCTAGCAATCCTGTCAGTCAAAGACAAACCAGGTCGGGGCCCTCTCTCCCAGGAGTTCAAATCCTTGTTGGAAAGCTGGATTTACAGCAGATAAAGTGGAATACAGCAGTGCAAGTGGTTAAAAAAACCCAACAGGGAAGAGGAGAGCTGAGGATAAGCAGTCAGCCATTGGTGGCCAGGAGACAGAAAGAGACACAGCAGGCAGGTAGCACTCCCAGGAGCCAAGCCAGGACCCACCTGGGCCTGTAGCTGCTTCCCCAGTGCATGCACCACAGGCCTGCAGGGAGGGAGTGTGAGGAGAGCTGGCACTTCGTGACGGTCACCCAGAGGCATTTGTAAGGGACCAGGAGAGAGAACACTGTACCTGCAAAGAGCAGTGTATTCCAGTTCAACCACGTGACTTGGGAAAAAGCATCAGGTGAGGAAACATTTCAGAAGAGGTGGAATTCAGTAAGGACCATGCAAAGGATATTTTGTTGCTCGTCAGGAGAAAAAGCTGATTCACGAGGATGTACGCTCAGATCTGGTTTATTTGATATATTCTGATTCAAAAAGATGACCCTCGTTGGGCACCTGGGTGGCTCAGTTAGTTAAGCATCTGCCTTCAGCTCAGGTCATGATCTCAGGGTCCTGGGATCAAGCCCCATATCAGGCTCCCTGCTCAGCAGGGCGTCTGCTTCTCCTTCTGCCCCTCCCCCTGTTCATGAGTGCCTGCTCTCTCTCTCTCTCAAATAAATACAATCTTAAAAAAAAAAACAAAAAAAGATGATCCTGGCAATAAGGCAAAACAAAACACATCCTCATGTATAATTCTCCGTGTCTCAAGGCCACAGGAGCACATACAGGCCCCCAGTTCCCCACCGAGCAACTATAGGATGGGGTGTCACCAAACCCTCCTTACCTCTCCCCAAGGGCTGAACTGGAAAGTCCAGTCCACTAACTTCTGCATTCTGATGCTTTACAGAGCCTGCTTTACCTGATGCAAGCTTGACCAACATTTAGCATCAGTGGATGAAGTGCTGGAGAACCTGATAACCAAGCCAAGGCTGTGGGTGTTCTCCAGGGTTGCGTGTACAACACAGGGCAGATGCCAACAATCATCTGCTGACACCTGCAATTTAGATAATGTATCAGTTAATGACCATTTGCAATGCGGTTGTAAACAACACCCCAGTTAATGTACTCAACAAATATTTGCTGGATGCTGGCCCTCCAGAAGTAATCAAATTATCCCCGACTGGAGTCCTGAGTACAATTCAAATGACAACCAGGAAAATGGAGAAGTCACGAAGTTACTTCTTACTTCTCCCTGATTATCCTGAAACTCAATCCTGACTTAAATGGTCTGTGCCATGGTACAAATGAATACCTTTCACTGTGCCAACCTGGGAGCCGTCTCTAAGACTGATCTGTTCCACCCGCTTCCATCTCTTACTACAGGCAGATTTTATGAATTTTAGGGCTTGGAATCAAAAAGTAAGTTAAATGCACTTGAATCCAAATTCACTGATTTGAAATTTGTGATAATTCTGGAATTATCCAATTACGATTGACTTTCAATAAAATTAGTCCTGCTAAGCAGTCAATAATATAAATAGATGACTGAGGTGGAATGATTTGCCTACTCATTTAACAGATTTCTCTTGTGCTATGCACTATGCTGCCTAAGGATAGACTGGAGAGCCAGACGGACACAGACGGACCCAGACTCCTTGAAACTCCCAGGTTATCAGGAAAGATACACATTAAATAATAATCACCCAGTTAACCACTTGAGTACTTGAGTACGTTACAGTAAGTATTGCAAGGGAGAGGGTACAGCAAGCTACAAAAGCATATAACAGACTTAAAATAGCCTAAAGAAGCTGCCTTACTGAAGGATCATGTGAACTGGGTTCTGAAGCATAGGTAAGACCCAAGCAGGTAACAGGGTCAAATAAAAGTAAAGAATTCCAGGGAGCAGGAGCAATGTGTGCAAAGGCCCTGAGGCATGCTCTGAAAGCCAAGCATGAGGAGGGAGACAGCCCAAGAGGAGGATGGAAAGGGAGGCTCTTTTTAAGGAGGTTCATTTTCATTCTTTAAAACTGGGAGGCCCTGGTGGCTCAGCGGTTTAACACCGCCTTCAGCCCAGGGTGTGATCCTGGGGTCCTGGGATCGAGTCCCACATCAAGCTCCCTGCATGGAGCCTGCTTCTCCCTCTGCCTGTGTCTCTGCCTCTCTTTCTGTGTGTGTCTCTCATGAATGAATAAATAAAATCTTTAAAAAAATAAAAATAAAAATAAAATTGGGAGGCCATGAAGGGATTCTGAGCAAGAGCCTGACATGAACAGATTTGAGTTTTACAAGCTGTTCTTGAATGCAGTGTTGAGAATGAATACAGAATAGCCCAAGGGAGTAGCCCAAAGCGGTGAGCAGGACAGATCCACACTGGCCTCTAAAAAGTGTGTTTCAGCGGCAATGACAGAGATCCTGTGAGTCCAAGTACAGAGTGACAGTTTCCCTAACTGTTCACAGAACAAATGCTACCACATCCTTCTGCGCCCACATCTTAGCCAGGTGCAAGTCAGATTGGTTCCATCCTTAGCCTTAAACTCTATACCTCGGGGGAGCAGCAGGCAGTGGAATGGGCCCACTATTCCGTGACACAGAAGGGTCAGTCCAAATTTTTCTGATGGCCTTAATACCCAAGGGCAGTGGTTCTTCTCAAGAGAATGTGTCCTTCAGTCTCACTCCTTCTTTTCTCTGCTTCAGTTTGCCCTCCAGAAAAATTGAGCATAAGGATACCCAGCTCAGAACATTCCCACATTTATTCAGTTTCTATGTTGACGAGCTGACTCCACCAAAGCAAATCAGACTTCTCTTCTGAGTCAAGCAATTTTCGTTGTAGTTGAGGAGAAAACAAAACAACCACCCATTCCCAAGACAGATGGATTTTTATGTGTGACCTGTGACAATACAGCATGAGCTATGGAAACAGGACGCCCAGCATGGTGTGAGGACAAATGACAGTCTGGGAGTCAGGGACGAGGCCGGCCCCACGGTGGTAGACACAGGGCCCTCTGTGGGCCTCCAAAGAAATGTCCTCCACAAATCTGAGTGACTGTGATTATTAATATTATTAATAAAATACCATGGACTGGGTTAACATCCAGGAGCTGAGAAGAGGAAGGTCCTTCAGGAAGCCCCAATGGTCTGCATTGAAAATTTGCATAATGGATTTATTTTAATTAGTTTACACTTCATTCTGAGTACTCTTAAAATTCTCCTGGGCAGCTTTTTGGTTCTTTAAGCTGTCAAAATAGATACTCAAGCCTCCTGCCAACAATAAATCGAACACTGTGCTACTGCTTGCTGAGTGGATTCAAGTTCTGCCACTTGAGTTCTCTTTATTGCAAAACCTAAGTTATTAATCCACATGGGAAAAGGCCTTTGGTCAGATTCGACTAGCAAAAAATAGTCCACAACCGCGCCAACCATATTAGAAATCCCAAAGGCTTAAAACAGGTTCCTAAAGATTTAATGAATATTGAAAGCAATAGATATGGGCTCTATATTGTTTTCACCAAAAATGCCTATGTCTGGAATTTTGTTGAGGTCAAGTGTGGATTTAAAAATATATATTTGAAAGCCAACTGTATTATTGACATTTAAAGACATGTTTTGCACCTGATGCATCTTGACCAGTTGGTCAGTTGGGGCCACTGACACTATTTTTCTTCTTTCTAGATGGGCTATGATGATAGCAAATGTAAGCATGAGAAGAAGTTTTAAAACTACAGATCCTAAATCCCAGCAAAGCAGGCACATGCAGCCCCCACTGCTGTAACAGGTATGGAACCAACCCCAAAGAAACACCTTCCATTGTCAGCTACTGTGCTGAAGGGCTCCACTGGGCGTTGGGAGAAGAGGGAGTGGGACCGGGCTTGGAGACTACTTTATGACTGTCCCATCCCAACCCAGGAAAATCAAATCAGAATTGACGAAGCTATCTAAATAAAGGTCTCCTTCCTGAGCCAGAAGAAATGTGGTTACAGCAGTTCTTTCTTATCCATGGTTTTGATATTTTGCAGTTTCAGCTACCTACGGTCAACCACGGTCCAGAAGCACATGATCCTCCCTCTGACATATGGTCAGAAGTCAATAGTAACCTAATCCTACATCACAGTGCCCAAGTCATTCGTCCCACATCATCTTGTCACGTAGACATTTTATCGTCTCACATCATCACAGGAAGGGTGAGTATAATACAATAAGATTTGAAAGAGAGAGAGAGAGAGAGACCACATTTACATAACTGTTATTATAGTATATTGTTATAGTTGTTCTATTTACTATTGAGTATTGGTAATCTTGTACTGTGTCTAATTTGTCAATTAAATTTTATCATAGGGAAATCGTAGTATGTATAGGATTCAATACTACTATTCGTAGTTTCAGCCATCCACTGGGGGTCTTGGAATGTATCCCCCATGGATAAGGGGGGGGGACTACTATATTTTCCGAATACTCCAATATCAGTGAACATCTTTTATTACTGTTTGGAATTATGACTCAAACCTCAGATCAGTTAGGGTTCTTTGACTATGCACAAAAGAAACAGAAACTGGACAAATTCAATTGAAATAGGTAGTAAAAGGAAATTGGAGCCCTTGCAGACTCAAGGTGAAGGCTGAAGTTCCAGGCTAGGAAAAGATAAGCAGACAGACAGCCACTGGAGAGAACATCCAAGCGTATTTCCATCCTGGTGTCATCCCAGGAGAAACAGGACAGGGGCATGGCCTGGGTCTCACATCTGCGCTTGGCCCAGGGAGGTCTCAGCAAGCACCTTGACTTTCAGCCCCACCAACACTAAACACAGTGGGGAGAAGAAATTGCCCCCAAAACTATCAAATGTTTTTACTCAGGGGAGAAGGATGGAAGCTGAGTGTTCAAAAAAATAACAAGTATCTGCTAATAGTGAGGCGGGGGCAGGGGTGGATTTCATTGCCTGGAGGTTTTTTACTTAACTCCAAGATTCTAAATTTAAATCCCCAACTATTTTATTTTCATCTAAAATGTGGAGGTATAGAAACCCCAGTATCACCATTACCAAGTACAGCCATTGCTAAGATTAAGATCCCAGCATTCAGGACACCTGAAGCCTCCCCTAACTATATACGTAGAACCTCAAGGTCCAGAAAACTTGACTCACAGTGGTCGAAGCCATTAAGATCCCCCACCCTACCCCAATAACACAACTTCCAGAAGAGGTAGTCCTGGCACATGCTCACAGCTCAGCAATGCTGTCAGGGACCCAGGGCTACTCTGCTCACCAAGCCAGCCTCAGCAAGTTGCCTTTTAATTGTCATTGCAAAGTCAATGCCTTGGTGTTATGAGTTGAGTTGTATCCCCCAGATTTTTATATGTTGAAGTCCTAACTCCCGGGGACCTCAGAATGTGCTTTTATTTGGGAAATGGGGTGATTGCAGATGTAATTAGTTAATATCAGATCACAGGGTGGGCTCTACTCCAACAGGACTGGTGCTTTCATAAAAAGGGGAAATTTAGACACAGAGACACAGACACAGGAAAGATAATATGAAGAGAGAGAAGGTGGTCATCTAAAAGTCAAGGAGAATAGCCTGGAACAGAACCTTCCCTCACAGCCCAGAGAAGGAACAAACCCCACTGACACCTGATTTGGGACTTCTAGCCTCCAGAATTGTGAGATACTAAATTTCTGTTGTGCAAGCCAGTGCTTTGTGGTTCACCGTTGGCCATAACAAACAAACACACTCTGTCTCAGGCTTTGTGTCTGCATTAGAAACAGGAGGAAACAGCACCAACAGAATGGAAACAACAGGGACTATTCCTTTGATCAGAAAGGCCAGGGACTCCTTGGGGGCTCAGTGGCTGAGGGTCTGCCTTCAGCTCAGGTCGTGATCCCAGGGTCCTGGGATCGAGTCCCACATCGGGCTCCTCTTGGGGAGCCTGCTTCTTCCTCTGCTTATGTCTCTACCTTGCTCTGTGTGTCTCTCATGAATAAATAAATAAAATCTTTAAAAAAGAAGGAAAAAAGAAAGGCCAGAACTTTCCCCGACATCAGAATGCTTCCATCCCTGTGACAGGAGCTATGCCACCAAGAAGGAGAAGCCAGTGGGAAAGAGAGTGAGGTTGGCCAGCCAGCAGGGTCTAAAAGCTGAAGCAGAAGTCCTTGGCCTTCTAAAAGGCCTGGACTCTCCTCTCTGGGGAGACACAGCCCTGATTTTCAAGGCAGGGCTAAGGAACATGTAAATAGAAGCTTTCACAGAGCTGGCTCATCCAGTTCACTAGAACTCAGGGTCCCTCCTTCCTCCAGCACAGCCAGCTCAGTTTTCTCATTCACAAAACCAGGTCAGCCTGCCAACAAGTCAGCACTGGAAACTCACCATCAGGCTGTGGTCAAGATACAGGAAAACAAACAAACAAACAAAAAGCCCAAAGAAGGCTGGCCTTCAGGACCGAAACACAATGCCACTGGCACAGCAGCAACACACCTGGGTGGGACATCTCATGCACTATCCCCCATGGGGGACCAGGACCACATGGGATGCCTGATGTGCAGGCTCTACCTCCCCCTTGGGAGCATCTTCATCTTCCATCCCCTAAAGCCCTGGTGGTGTCATCACTCTGACCAGCCAGGCAAGAAGGGAAGCATGCAGCCTTGCCGGCTTCTGCTGCTGATGTGAACGGAGCTACCGTGTGACAATGTCATCTGTCAGCTGAGGACACAGAGCACCCTGCCAGATGTTCACTGTCCCAAATGCCCACCACTTGGGCCCATTCTAGGGTCTATACTTGCTATTTTATCTAACTTTTAATGTACTCATTGACTTGTTCCCTGTCTGGGCCAGAACTGTTCCAGGCAGTGGAAGGATGTACCCCAGTAGTAGTGGTCAGGGTCCCAGCGGAAGCAGCTTCCTCAGACAGGACCCAGAAGGAAAAGCAACATACCACCTCACACCCATTTAGGATGGCTACCATGAAAAAAAAAAAACCACATAAAATAACAAGTGCTGGCAAGGCTGTGGACAAGCTAGAACTCTGTGCACTGCTGGTGGGAATGCAAAGTGATAGAAACACCATGAAAACAGTAGGAACTTCCTCAAAAGATTTAAAATGGAATTACCATATGATCCAGCAATTCCATGTCTAGGCAATTCCACGTGCCCAAAAGAATTGGAAGCAGAATCTTGAACAGGTAATTTGTATACCCACGTTCATAGCAGAATTGTTCACAGTAGCCAAAAGTGGAAACAGCCTAAATATTCATTGAGAGATGAATGGATAAACAAAAGAGAATAAACATACAGTGGACTATTATTCAGCCTTAAAAGGGAAGGAAATTGAATGGAAGTGGATGATCCTTGAGGACATCATGCTAAGTGAATCAGCCAGTCACAAAAAGACAAATACTGTGTGATTCCACTCATATGAAGGACCTAGAGTAATAAAATTCATGGAGATAGAAAGTAGACAGTGGCTGCCAGGGGCTGCATCAGCGGCAGGTGGAGGGTAGAGTGGAATTGATATCTGACGGATACAGAGTCTCAGTGGGGAATGCTGTCAAAGTTCTAGAGTTGGATGGTGGTGATGGCTGCACCAATATGAATGCACTTAACACCACTGAACTGTATACTTAGAATGGTTAAGTTGGTAACTTTTATTTCATGTGTATTTCGCCACATTTTTTTTTAAAGAAGAAAATCTAAGGAAGGGACCATAACAGAGGTATAAGAATTAGGGAGAGCCCAGCATGTGGAGCCACTCAGAAGTGAGGAAGCCATCCTCCCCACATCCCCAGGGGGCAAGGGGAGCAGTGAGAGTCTGAGCCCAGGGGAGGGGCCATAGTTAGAGAAGACTGCAGCATTGCCAGGACCCCATACCACAGCCAGGAACGGGGATGGAGGGGAAATGCTGGGGAATCTGGCTCCCTCTAGGCTCCCCCCAGCATCTTCCACTGGTCACCCAACTCTCTAACTGGTAAGTTAGAGAGTTCAGGAGCCCAGGTGCTACAGGCTCTTGGGGACTGTACCCTCTTGGGCACAGTGAGAGAATGTGGGGAGGCGACACCGCCTGGAATGTCAGGGAAGACCTCTCCACAAAAATGGCACATCTGAACCATAGGCACTGTACCAGGCAGGGTTCTCCAGAGGAACAGGACCAATAGCATGTGTAGATATAAAAAGAGATTTGTTTTAAGGAACTGGCTCATGTAGTCATGGTTGCTGGCGGGTGTGACATCTGCAGAGCAGACTGGAGACCCAGGCGGATTGGTGTTGCAGCTCCAGTCTGGAGACCTGAGGCAGAATTCTCCCGTCCTCTGGGGAGCTCAGTCTTTGAGATGCGGCCCACCCACGTTACAGAAGGTGGGTAATCTGCTTTACTCATAGTCCATTGATTTAAATGTTAATTACATCTAAAAAATACTTTCATAGCAACATCTAGATATATTTGCCCAAAAACTGGCCACTGGGGCCTGACCAGGTTTTGACACATAAAATTAACCATCAAAGGTACGATTACCCATCTAGACCAGCGTGTAGTTCTCATATGGAGCCACTAAGTTGGATATCCTATTCATACCCTACACGTCTTTCTTTTACAGAGGAAAAAAAAAATCACACTGTGCAATTGCATCTGGTCAATAGGAAGCTCTAGTTTTGTGGGAAGAGGGCTGCTCTTCCAGAATCATCACACAGAGGCACCCTCTGGCTGACCAGGGACAGTCTTCCCAGCTGGTGGATGATGCAGGGGAACAAGAAGTGCACGGACGGGTTCAGCGACTCCTCAAGCATCGGCAGTGTGCTGGACGATGCGGACAGGGAAGTGAGCAGCCTCACAGACCGGGCGTTCCGGAGCTTGTGCATCTCAGAGGACACATCTTTTAACGACTCTGACCTGACCCTGTCCCCAGATATCAGCCGCCAGGTGTTTGGAAATTTTCACCAGGGAACGGTGAGCCACACCCACAGGAAAAGCAGCATTTGGAGCCAGTTACCATCACAAGGCACCGAGCATGCAGGCTGGGCGGCCACATTCCAACAGCTACCCAAGTATGTTCAAGGAGAGGAAAAGTATCCCAAAAGCAGCCCCCCACTGACACCAGCCCAGAGGAGACTGGAGGTGCCAGTTTCTGGCCTGAGGAGCAGCAACAAGCCTGTTTCTAAAGTGTCATCACTAATTAAATCTTTTGACAGGACCGAGAGCCAACATTGTGACAGCCGGCCTCCTACCAGTAAGCCCCCAGCTCTCAAAAATCCCCCCAAATTTGCTCCTCTTCCAGAAAGTGGCATCAACTTCTGCTTCGATTCTGCCTTTCTGACTGTCAGGAGGGTGCCTGCTGAAGTCTCTAGTGCCCATCAGAATAGCCATCAGCCTGGCAGGAAGCACGGAGAGCAGGAGTCCCCCAAGAATCCTGACATGGCCAGTCACAACTCCAGCAGCTTCCTCCCAACACCTGAAAATGTGGCCAACTCGTTTGAGCCAAAGTTCCCTTCTTCACCCCACAAGCCAGCCAAGGGCGAGCCTGGAAGGGGTAAGGACTGGCCTCGCAAAGGGACCTTTCTTCATAGTGAAAACAGTGCTTTTGAGTCATGGAATGCCCACCAACCGAGGCTGCCTGAGAGGAAGGAGGCTGCTGACCCTGTCCCAGAAAGCAAGGCTCCCAAGCACTATGAGGACACACCCCTGTTAAGAGAGCCCCTGGCCCCTGAACACCATGTCTCCCCCTGCCAAGCCCAGGCCAGCTGTAGTCAGGATGAGAACAGGCTGACAGCAGGGGCTCTCACCACATCTGGATCCTGGGGAGCTAGAGATCCAGGAGCCCAGATATTCCCTGTGGAGGGAGAAGCTTCTAGCTCACAGCCTGACCCTCAGGTGAAGCCGACCCAGGCCCCGTGGAGGAAACCAAAGCCTAGCAAGGGAAGGAAAGAAAGTCTACCAGATGCTTCGGAAAAGAAGCAGGCCACCAGAAGAGGCCCAGCCTTGTATACAAAGCACAATCCCCAGGGACAATTTCCAGAAAACGAGGCTCTTGACATGCCCATGGACCCCAATGAGCATTACAGTCCTCCTTTTAACATCAGTAAGCTTCTGACCCCTGTCATACCCACCAAGCATGTCCTGGATCCACCTGACAGTCAGCTGGTGGAGATAACCCCATCTCCCTCAGGACAGCTCAACGGGTACCAAGAGAAGGAGCCCAGTGAATGTCAATCTTGGGACACCTACAAATCCAAAGCCCCTAGCCTGTTGTTCAACCTTAAGGATGTGCGGAAGCGTGTTAAGAGCACATACAGTCCGTCACCTCTCTTGAAAGGCCTTGAGGAGAAAACCAGAGGCAAGCAAGAACCCATGAGCAATGGCGTCATCCTTCCCAATGGGCTTGAGGAGAGCTCTCCAAACGAGCTCTCTAAGGAGAGGCCAGCTGACGGCCCTTCTGTGTCACACATCAGTACCCAGAAGGACCCTAAGGCTGACCCTGGTGCTGCCTCTGAAGACAGCTATCTAACTCTTAGCTCACCTCCAGCTACCACCCAAGCCCCCTTCTGCGTCAACGGGGAGAGAGATGACAGAAACAGCTACGAGAAGGACGATGGAGAACCAGAGATGGGCACTGCCAAGTCCGGCGAGTGTCCAGACTCTGGGGAACGCTGCCCCAGGAAGCACCTGTCCCTGAGGCTTTGCAGCAGAGAGCCTGAAGCAGGGAAGGCTGCAGAGAAATCAGGGACCCCCAACCTAGAGAAGGGGTTCTTGAGATCCGTGTCTCAAGAAACAGAATCCGAGAGAGAGGCAGGATTCCAGAATCCAAACTTTAACCAGAAATTCTCCCCAGGGCCCCTCTCTCCCGAGGAAGAAGATGTGTTTTACAGTGACACACAATCTGATTTCATGCCAGGCTTCAAAAGTAAGGCCAAATTCAGCACCAGCTCTTCAGACCAGTCCTTTGCCTCATTTGAGGATCAGCAGAAAACGTGGTTCAGCGAGAGCCAGCAGGAAGACAGGAGGAATGATGGAAGTGCAGGAGACAGTCAGAAGGATGAGAAGGAGAAGACGATGGGGAAAGATGAGCTGCCGCACTGTGCCCTACGTAACGGGCCGGTGTGCATACAGGAGCACAGCAAGGGGGGACTGCTGCAAGGAGAAGGGGAAGGTTTATCTGGATGTAGGCCCAGGAAGACGTCGAGAGAGGAAGCTAACTTCAGAGGCACTTGGATGGGGGGAAGTAAGGATACATGCAAAGACCTTACCCCCTCACCATCTTCCACTTCAAACAAGCACATACTGTTTGCAATTAAAGACAATACCCTCAGGGCCACCCCCGTGATAAAACCCATCATGCTGCCCCTTCTGAGGACCCTGTCATCAGAGGACCCACTGGGCAGTAGCCACAAAGAGGAGGACTTGCCAAAGCCAGGCTGGGGAGAAGAGGCTGGTGGTCTCTGTGGCCCTGAGAGCCAGGAAATGGCCAATACCCCGACACCTGCTAGCACGCAGGGCACACACTTGGAGCACACAGCCTGCGAGGGCATGGACCATGGGCAGGTGCCCAGCATGGCCTGGATGGAGACTCCTCAGCCAGTCCCAACAAGAAATGTCCCATCTCCTCCACTCATGGGAGAGGATAAAGGGCTGAAGCCACGACGGGTTGTGGCAAAGGAAGGCAAGAACAGTTCCATGGACCGGGGGAAGCTGGATGCTCCAAGGTGCATCCCCACCATCGCTTTGCCCCAAGGCGACCCAGAAGACCAGCCACCCTCACAGCAGCTGGGGATGTGCTGGGAAGAGCACACACAAGATTTCAAAAGTCACTTATTGTCTACACCTAGAGCAGGGCCCCCAGGGAGAAGATTGGTCCCTGGTGAGATGGCAACTTCCCCTAATGCCAGCTCCCTGGATGAGAGCAGCGTGTGCTCCCCTGCTACCAGCACCATTTGGGACGATGCTTCCCAGTCCCCCACCAAGCCAGGCCTGCTGCCAGGGGAGCCTCCTCACCCCAGCCCCTGGGCCAGCCCCTACTCTGCCGGGGTTGCCCACAGGGAGGACCTGACACATGCCCTCACATGGGAAGCTGGCTCAGACCCCCAACTTGAGCCAAGCACAGAAGACCTCCGGACACTTTCTCCAAGAGGTTTGGTGCTGGACACGGCCACCAGCTCTGTAGGCCTCCCTGAGAAACCAGAGCCTCCGGCTCAGCTGGAGAGAGCGGCTGGCAAGCCACCTGCGGTGCCCCCCAAAACAGAGAAGGCCCTACGGCGGGCAAAAAAGCTGGCCAGCAAGAGGAGAAAGACCAACCAACTGCAAGAAAAACATGGTGAAACCAGAGAAGAAAAGCCCTCCCTGGAGGACTGGGAGCAGAGGCCACCATCCCCTGGAGAGAGACCCCGACCCAGGTTTCCCACGGTCCGCTCCCTGCCGCCTCCCATCCACCGCCACTCAGTGTCTGCCTTCTCAGAGCCACTCAGGAGGCAGCCTGGGGGACCCCAGTCCCTTACACCTCTGCCCCCTTACCCTGCCACCCAGAAGGTCCTCCAAGATCCCCAATCTGGAGAGTACTTTGTCTTCGATCTGCCACTCCAGGTGAAAATCAAGACCTTCTATGACCCAGAGACGGGCAAATATGTCAAGGTCCCCATCCCATCCTCTGAGGGAGGTTCCCCCGAGCTGCCCCCACCCAACACACCTGCTGCTCGCTACATGCTGTACCCCCACTTCCGGCCCCTGCCCGTGACAGCCTTGATGCCCCTGCGCTGCTCCTCTCAGCTCTCTGCCCCCACCTTCTTAAGGCAGGGCCTTCACCCCACCGAGGCGGCCAGCCCTGGGTCCCAGAGAGCCTGTGAGGCCGGCCTGCAGCTGGCCCCAAAGCCTCGAGGCGACCCCACCCAGCACCCCACAGGCCAGTGCCCTGAAGCACCTCCGCAGTGCCTGGGGGAGGAGGGAGATGCTTCACACCTGGGCATCATCTCCACCAACGACCTAGAGGACTTTGCCACAGAAGGCGTTTCTTGAGAACTACAGCAGACTAACCCCCCTCAAATAAACCCAGAAGAACTTACTTCCCCTTTCCCCAAAACAATCACTTACATACACACACACAGACACACACACACACAAATCAACACATACTTAGCCATGTGGGATCCCTAATGTCTCAAAGGAAGTGGGGATTCCGAGAAAACCCCAGCTGAAAGGCTTCCTGGGCCTCCCCTCCCTGGGAGGGCACTGTTTGCATGACCGGGTCCCTCCTAAGCTCCTTCCCTGATCCTGGATCTGGCCTCCTTCCCTCTTTCTTCTCCCCTCCCTTACTCTGTCCCCCTCTGGCCATGCCACTGCGGTGGGTCCAGCCTATTCCTAATGACCGTGACTACTCTGCTCCGGCATCCCACCTAATTCTTCTTAAGGGCCAGCTCATGCAGTGAGCAAGCTCCCAAGACCCCCAGAAACAGCACACTGCACTGTGCCCAGCCCTGCCCAGCGAGCAGACCACCCAGCCCAGCCCCTCCAGGTCCAGCGGGGCCCAGAGAAGGGCCTCCATCCCTCCCCACTGCAGGAGCCATTTCCAGCTCACGCAGGCAGAAATGGCTCAGGACTGCCCCCAGGCAACCCCGCAGAAATGTTTATTTGGATAGAATGGGTTTCTTTACTGAGGAAGCTTTCCTCTGAAAGCTATTTTCTGATAAAGAAAAGGCTACCTTTTAAAAAGTGAAACAAGCTTGTGGATTTGGTTCTGTCCCCGACTCCCACCTTCCATCTCTGGGCAGTGGCGGGTCTCCACTGGTAGGTTAAGTGCCTTGTGCTCTCCCAGCCTTCCCCCACTGCCAGCCACGCGGGGGCTTCACATTTGAGCAGAGCAGCCTTAGCACCTAATGTCATTCTGATGCTCCTCCTCGAGCTCCCAGCACCATCCCTGCCTTCCCAGGGCTGGGTTCCCCATCAAGGCCTGAGTCAGGCCCCAGGTATCCCAATTTCATGACTATTATCTGTGCCCTATGCTCAAAAGGAAATTGTATTTTCCCAACTCCCTGGCCTTCGAGGAAGTGGAGGGAAGTATCTGATCCAGGTCAAGGGAGCAAAATGCAATAACCATCTCTGCACCTCTGAGAACAGGGACAGTCTGTGAGCACATGCCCACTGTGGGCAACTGTGCTGAGAAGGAAAGCAGGCTGGTCCTCATGGGCTTCCATGGGCATTCGCTGAAGCAACTTCATTCTTGTGCTATGGGAAAGACAGGGGCAAACACGTCTTCCCTCCTTGTTTAGCAAGGGCAGCTGTCATGGCAGCTGTTGGGACTGTGCTGCCCATGTCCCATGGGACCCCACTAAATGCATCATCCTTGTTCTTTTGGCAGAGATGCTATTCCCAGGCTAGAAAAATGGCACAGAACTCACCAAGTCCCAGATTTGCACAAATACAAGGGCTCTAGCTTATTCTTGGTCATGAATTGGATTCAGGATTTTCTACCTATTTGTTTTCCCAACAAGTACAGCCACACCTTAATTTCATTGTGAAAATACTACACCAACCCCCTGGCTCAATGCCGTGATGAGTCAACCAGATGATTAGCCAGGAACACAGGCAGGCTGCCGTCCGAGAAGTCTGGTTCCCAGGAGTCACTCATCGGGGTGCAAGTGAGACAAACAAGCTATGATCTTGGCTCTGCCACTGTGGCTTAAGCATCCTCCCACCTTGCTTTCATCTTATTCAAATAGGAAATGTGATATCTCATTTTTAAATTCTCAGGGCCCCGGGGAAAAGAATAGCCTAACAAAAGTAGAATCCTTCTGTTAAATAAATAAATAAATAAATAAATAAATAAATAAATAAATAAATAAATAAATAAAATTTTTTTAAAACCATAGTAATGGTAACTGTGTCCCCACAAGGAAAAATATATTTTCCTTAAGGGTAGCTCATGTTTGGGGAAGCAGTCATCATCTGTCTTAGAAACAACAGAAGCAGAGCTATGGGTAGAGCTGAAAGCATAAAGGCAGATATTTGGAGATGAAGGCCAACTTCCCTGTGAATGTGCCAGAGGAACGGCGAGAACTGTGTCTGGCAGAAAGCAACATCCAGGAACTGGAGGGTATTATGCTGAGTGAAGTAAGTCAAGCGGAGAAGGACAAACAGTGTATGTTCTCATTCATTTGGGGAATATGAATAATAGTGAAAGGGAATATAAGGGAAGGGAGAAGAAATGTGTGGGAAATATCAGAAAGGGACACAGAACATGAGAGACTCCTAACTCTGGGAAACGAACTAGGGGTGGTGGAGGGGGAGGAGGGCAGGGGGTGGGAGTGACTGGGTGACGGGCACTGAGGGGGACACTTGACGGGATGAGCACTGGGTGTTATTCTGTATGTTGGTAAATTGAACACCAATAAAAATTAATTTATTAAAAAAAAAAAGAAAGCAACATCCACTCAGGGCGCAGGGATTCCTGGGACACCTGGCTCTGCAGCAGGTCAGCCAGAAGGAAGACCTCCACCTGACAGCAAGGTGCCTATGTTCCTAGGAAGCAGGTAATGCTTCCAGGGGGCAAAAGCAATGAACACCAACTCATTTGGAAATCATGTTCTCTTCCCTCCTTCCTCTTTCCCTCTCTTCCTCCCCCTCCTCTCCTTTTCCCTAACTCTCTGTTTTCCTCTCTCCCTCCTATTACAAACATCTTCAGAGTCCCCACTCTGTGCCAAGCACTTCACTGGGCACCTAAAGATATACCATGATAATAAGATCTGGTCTTCACACCCAGAGAATTAAAATCTAACAAAGAAGAAAGACAGTTATAGTCCTGCATGGTAAGCAATTTAATACAGTGGTCTGAGGAGAATCTAACTCAGCCTGGAAGGATAAGGGGCTTCCTACAGGGGATGGCACCCAAGCTGAGTCAGCAAACACCAAATAGTACATGAGCTTCTGAAGAAACCAGAATTTCCCCAGCTTTAATCTATCCATCAAACAAAGATGACATTTGTTAAATACTAATAGATTTGCCTTACGATGTCAAAGTATAATGGCTTAGCTAATTGTTAAATTTTTTTAGCATTTTTAATCAGCACAAGAATGAAACCAAGGTAGCCTCACAAGATAGACCTTTGTTGATATATTCCTTCAGCTTCTGAATTAATATTTGACTCTTCTGAGTTACCTGGAAAAAAAAAAACATTATTTCTACTATTGTGTTTAATAGAACAGTGGCGAGAACTGTGAAAACAATACTTGTGGAAATTATGGGTCAAGGCCATGCTTGCATCTTCTATTTAGTGCACGGCCCTCCTGTGAGTTATGACTCCTTCAAAAGTCCTGGGGCTATTCAGTAGAAAGTGACCAAGAATTCACACTGTCAATCACATGCTATGTGCCAGCCCTGGAGCCGGGAGCTTTGAGACTGGCCTCCATCCTCGCAACAAACCTCTGAGAGGTATCCTCGTTTGCAAAAGCACTGATCTGCTGAGTAACTTCTCACAGTCACACAGTCACTGAGTGAGGGGGCCACACCAGGGACTCAGGCGGCTCTCACTCTCAGCAGGTGGACACTCTTAACACCCCTTATGCTTCTCGAAGTGTGGTAAATGGATAAGGAAGCTTCCACATTACCAGGGACTTTGTTAGAAATCCAGAATCTCAGTCTGCATTTTCACAAGAGTCCCCGCTGATTCATCTGCTCATTAAACTTTGAGAAGTGCGAGGAGACTCTTTTTGGCCTGGAAGGGTAAAGATTCCAGGAGATGCGTCCATGCCTTCATGTCTACAGCTTCTCCAGGGGCATGGAAGGAGAGTCTTACACATTGCGGGGGAGAGCTGCAGGGAAGCCGATTCACACCCCCTATAGGAAGGGTGTGTCTAGTAATACAGCCCTCTCTACCTGGCTACAGGGGCTTGAGGTGCACTAAGCTCCCCAACACTGCAAATGTGCCATAGAAGCTAGTGACCCCTTTTCCAAGCCAGGGATAGATTCAATGCCAAATATGTCCTAACTACATCTTTTGAGTCCCCAGGCTGCATGTGGGACTCGGGTATGACAATGTCATGAGTCCAAAGTCAAAACAGGGCATGGCCACAGGAGTGAAATATAGAAGTGAAACATTTGCAATTTGAAAGAGGAGCTCTAGGGATGCCTGGGTGGCTCAGTGGTTGAGCGTCTACCTTCGGCTCCAAGGCATGATCCTAGGGACCTAGGATCGAGTTCCACATCGGGCTTCCTGCAGGGAACCTGCTTCTCCCTCTGCCTGTGTCTCTGCCTCTCTCTGTGTGTCTCTCATGAATAAAAAAATAAATAAATATTTTTTTAAAAAAAGAGCTCTAGGCAAAACCCAAATTCTATGCAGGCAAAAAGCATTTTGGCCCAAATAACATTGCACATGATTGTCTTATGTGGGCCTTCTATATCATTCAGATATAAAGTCCAAGGTAAGCAGAGCCCCAGGCCATATCACTAGAGCCTGTCACCACCTGCTTACATGTCCTTAGTATCACCCTAGCAGAGCCATCCAAGCAGAGGCCTCCTCCTTGCACTCCTCTGTGTAGATCCAGAACTGCAGCTGATTCTGGTGGGGTTTCTCTTCTTCACCTGCCAGCTCTCAGACAGGAAGCTCAAGCCTTTCTGGGCTTTACCATCACCTGGGCACTTGTTAAGGACAGCCCCAGCTCCACTTCCAATTCACCTCATCAGCCTATGTGGGAAGTGTAAGTGGAAAAGCTCCCCCAGAGACTCTGGTACATTCAGATTCATAAACACCATCCTAAGAAGTGTTCCCACACAAAGGGCCCTGCACTGCCCAGGCCTAGAGTTCTAGCCAGTGGAGAACTCAGTGGAGGGATATGAGGAGAAAGGGCACATCTGGGTTTGCCTATGGGCAGGGAGAACACACAGGCACTCCCTCTCCGGGTGGAAAGCTGTGGATGGGCAAAGGCACAGCCAGGGTCTGGGACTGTCCAGCGTAGCCACCAGCCCTGCCAGAGCCAGGTATTCCTTGAAGTTCTGAAAGGAGGCATGGCCTGATCTCAGAGGAGAGGAAGGGGGCATTGTGAGGAACGGGGCTCCCTTCCAAGGTATTCCAGGGTGGTTCTCTCAAATGGCTGCTACAGACAGTTTCTTCTCAGTTCGTGAGCAGAGATGACCTGCAGGTTTTACTATGGGATTTGGAGCTGCAGATCCTGAAGAACATTACGCACTTCATTTCTGTGACAAAGCAGGTCCCAGATTCTGAAACTGTAGTATCTGCAGCAAACGAGGCAGGGATTTCCGGAATTACAGAAGCGCAAGCTCATGTCCTTGAAGCTCTGAAGGGAGGCCATGGCCTGATCTCAGAGGAGAGGAAGGGGGCATTGTGAGGAACAGGGCTCCCTTCCAAGGTGGTAGAGCCAGCACTCCTGGCACACAAGGAGATTAGTGGGGGGTTAAGGAGTCACACACATCATCATTGCCAAGTGAAGTCAGTCTTGTTGTTTGCATCATTTGTCCAAATGCAGTCTAGATTTTAAGTCCTTTCACTGTTCTAGCACTGTTCTCAAACTCAGTTTATTTTGGGCACTGCCACACAAACACCATCTTCCAGGTCCTCCCTGCCATCGGTTCTCCTCCTGGGTCCCAGCCCTGACCTCCATCTCTCATTCCCATCCTTCTTCCCAAGTTCTGAAGTGTTCCTTGCTCTCTTTAGAGCCCTCCCTTTCCCCTTTGTAAAAAGGTGTTGAGTGATGTTGTTGGTGCCTATCATCCTGTCTTTGGTGGCAAGTTCTATATTTTCTTCTGAGTTTGGAAAATTTTAGGCTGATGTGCTCTTCTTTCACATTTACAAACTCTAGATGACATTATCAGTCTCACTCTGCATTCCTGTGCTTCCAGCAGCCCATTCTTCTCCGCTGATGGAAAGTCCCAGCAAGCCAAGTCAAGAACTGACCAAGCGGTCTGCTTTTAGCAGAGACTCTCAGCCAACACTGCCATAAGTGGAGCCCCACCTTTGCTCTTCCTTGCAGGGGTCACCTATTGTGTACCCATGTGTGCAAAGTATATGGAGGGCCCTCTGTCCAGCCAAGGGATCCACTACACTGGGCAATGTGATTTCAATGGCCTCTTCACCAGTCCTGACCCATACACATTCACCATATCTCTTCTGCCAAGTTTGCTGACTTCCCAGAAGATGGATAGCTCCTGATGGAAACTTTTTTGAAACATGTTCAACATCACAATTCATTGGGAAAATGCAAGTCAAAACCACAAAGAGGTATCACCTCACAGCCATTAAGATAGCTAGTATTTAAGAAGAGAGAGAAAGAGAAAGAAAACAACTGTTGGTGAGGATGTGGAGAACTTGGAATCCTTATGCACTGCTGGCAGGAGTAGAAGATGGTGCAGCTACTGTAAAACACAGTATGGCAATTACTCAAAAAGCTAAACAAAATTACTATATGATCTAGAAACTTCACTCCAAGGTAGATACACAAAAGAATTGAAAGCAGGAACTCAAACAGATATTTGCACACTTGTGTTCACAGTAGCATTATTCCCACAACAGCCAAAGGTTGGAGGCCACCCAAATGTCATTTACAGATGAACAAACAAAATGTTGTCTATCCATAGAATGGAATATTATTCAGCCTTGAAAAGGAAGGAAATTCTGACACACGCTTTACGGATGAACTTTGAGGACACTTTGGTGTGTACAGTAAACCAGTCACAGAAAGACAAATACTGCATGATTCCACTTTTATGAGGTGCCTGAGGAGTCAAATTCAGAGACAAAAGGTAGAATGGTGCTTGCCAGGGGCAGGGGAGGGAGGATGGGGAGTTGATGTTTAATGGCTGCAGAGTTCCAGCTGGGGAGATCACAAGGGTCTGGAGATGGTTGGTGGGGAATGTACTTAAATGCACACTTAAGGATGGTTAAAATGGTCAATTTTATGATGTGCATATTTTGTCATGATTTAAAAAACAGAACAGAAACATAAATAAAGCCTTTGTCCAGCACAAACAGCCCATTCACCTCGAGGCCTTAGAGCAGGGGTGGAGTCCAAAGAAAACCATGCGCCTGGTGGGGATGAGAACAGACTGGGCTCCGCCTTCTCCTGGAGACAAAGGTGCAGCGGCCAGAGGAAGGCAGGATTCAGGACTGTGGGCCAAACCAAGGGTAGGAGGCCTGTTCAGAGCCACATTCTGGTGATGGCAGAGCAACTATATCTAACTCCAAAGAGAGAAAAGGGGAAAGAAAAAGCTCCGGGGCTCTCCTATCAA